CAAACTTAATAAACCCCATGGAAAATTCAAGATGCAGATGTCTTTGCTAATGGATTCCATCAAGTATTTTCATAGATATGAGACACTATGTCTGACCCATCAAGTATTTGAAGAAGCAATAATACTAAGTCAGAAACTTGTTCAAAAATTTGAAGAGGTAATCACTTTCATTTTGTGACATCATTATTACTGTTACCAAAGCTAGACAGACATCACAAGAAACATATATAATGAATATATATTTTAAAAATATTAGTAAGCTAAATCCCATAAAAACAACAACAACAAAAGATCTCACATTATAACTAAGTGGAATTTACTCCAGGGAGACAAAGTTGATTTCCCATTTAAAAATATATGGATTTAGGGGTTGGAGAGATGGCTCAGCCATTAAGAGCACTTGCTGCTCTTGCTCAGGACCTGACTTTGATTCCCAGCATCCTGAGTGGATGGCTCAAAACTGCCTGCAACTCAAACTCCAGGGGATCTGACAACTTCTTCTGGCCTTCTTCTGGCCTTCATAAACATCCATGTGCACATGCATGCACATGTACACACACAAATGAAAATAAAATAAAAATATTTTTAAAATAAATGAATGTAGTACAATATTTCAATAGACAAAAATAATAATGGCATAATCTCAATTGAAGGAGAAAAGCTATTTAAAATCTCATAAACTAGAAAGAGTGGGAATTTTCTTAGTCTAATGAAGAACACCCATAAAGAGAGTACAATTAGCACAATGCTTAATAGAAAAAATAAGAAAATATCTTCTAAGTGCACTCACCAAAATAGAGATTTCGACTTGCATTCCTTCTATTCAATATTGCACAGAGGGGTTATAAGCACTGATGTAAAGATGGGAGAAAGAAAAGACTAGAAAAGGAAAGGGAAAAGAGGGCATCTCAATAAAAGGAACACGTTATGTCACTTATTTGCTGATGATGTAATAATATATGTTGAAAAGCCTTAATGATATACAAAAATGTTATATGCTTAGAATTAATCAATGCAACAATGTTGCAAGACATAAAATTAATATACAAAATTCAATTGCATTTTGTGTACTAGCAATGAACAATTGGAAAATCAAGATAAGAACATAATCCTATCCATAACATGAAAACTACTTTTAAAAAGCTAAGAAATTTATTTTCAAAAGTATAAGATATACATTGTGATTTATAAAAATTTTGTTGAGGGGCCTGGAGAGATGGCTCAGCATTTAAGAGCATTGATTGCTTTTGCAGAGGACCCAGGTTTGATTCCCAGCACCCACATGGTAGCTAACAATAATCCATAACTGCAGTTCTAGGGGAATCCAACATCTTCTTCTAACTCTGCAGGCATTGCATGACATGGGAACACTTACACACATTCAGGCAATACTCATATACATGAAATAAAATAATAGCAAACATTTTTTAAAAAATTTGTTGAGCTAAATTAGAGATCTAAATAAATAGATATTCTATATTCATATATTAGGAGATTTGGTATTTTTAAGATGAAAATTATTTCCAAGTGAATGTATTGATTTAATATAAGTAAAAATTCATGTAAGATATTTTGTAGAAATGGACATAAGGATTCTGAAATTCATATGAACATGGAAAGGGATAAGAATAAAATTTGAATAACAAACTTGGAAGACTTATACTATCAAACTTCAAGTTTTACTCTGAAGTTACACTGATTAGTACAGTGTAGTACTGACATAAGCACAGGAAATCAGTGTGTTATAATTGCGAGTCTAAAAATAAACTGTTGCATTTATAGTCAGGTGTGACTTGTGATTGGGGAAGGGAAATATTTTCAGTGAATTGCACTGGGACAACTGGATGTCTGCATGTTAAACAAGAAATAAGACTTTGATTCTTATTGCATATACCGTGCACAAAAATGGGCAAATTAATTCAAAATGAGTTATGTACCGAAATGTAAGAGCTAAAACTAAAGACTTCTGAGACAGAAGCTAGGAGAAAATGTTTCCAATTTTGGGTTCATCAGCGCTCTTAGAAGTAGCAATAAAATTGCACTGCATGATGAATTTGGGAAAAATTTGAAAAACATCAAGATTGAAAGTAATGTAACCAAAACCAACCAACCAAACAAACAAAATAAACCACTATTGAAAAAACAGAGAGAAACATTTGAAATATTTGATAACAACTTCTGTCTTGAATATATGAGGATGCCTTCCAGTCAACAGTAAAAAGACATATTTTACTATTGTAAAATATGTGAACATATTTTAAAGCTGGATGATTGGTCATATGAGTTCATTATATTAATTTTTCTATTTTTCTGAGTGCTTCAAGGTTTTCACAATATTGCATTTTTTAAATATTTTATCTGTTGTTTTTATTTTTTATGTGTATGAGTGTATTACCTGCATGTAGGTAGGTGCACCCATTTTGTGCAATGCTTGTGGAGATCAGAATAGTGCAGTTGTTAGCTGCCACGTGGGTGCTGGGACTGGAATCTGGGTCCTCTGCAAGGCAGTTGGTGCTGTTAACCGCCAAGCCATCACTCCAGCCCCATAATATTCCATTTTTAAAATAAAGTAAGGAAATATGAAGTTTATGTTACCACTACTGTGAATAGGAAACATAGGAAATATAGAAAAGACACTATTTGATACCATGATAAGTGTGTATTTCTTGTAATTTAAAGATATGTCTAGTTTGAAGGTAGCCAAGATGGGAAGTAAATATTTTGCACCAAGAAACATTATAGTAAAGCCAAAGAATATCAAATACAAGAGAAAATTCTAAAACCTTCTAGAAACAAATCCCATTTCATACAAATAAGCAATAATCAAATTAACATCAGTTTTCCATGACAACAATGATTACAAGATGAAAACAGAGTAATGTTTTCAAGGGATTAAAATAAAGCTGTTCTGAATCTTGGCTTTTTTATTTTATCTATTTCATCGTGTACAGGGCCGCCAACATTTAAATCAAATAAAAGCCCACATTGAAAACAGTTTCAGGTGAAATATACTTATGAAAAGAAATAAATTTAGAAGCTGTTGCAAAAGATACAAAAAGAAAATGTGGCTATATAAATTGGTAAATTTGTGTTAATAAAACCAAGACTGAAGAGGTAGAAAATAAAGGATATATACACATCAAACAAGCCTTTAAATTCTGTTTAAAATATCATACCAGTTAAGTTCTCTGACCTCAAAGTAGTTATGCTGAGCATCACAAACAAAAATGTAAGCTAAAATAACCTAATTTTAATTTTTCAAAGTAAAAGCACACTGCTAAGTAATTAAGATGAAGAAGAAATTGTGAGGATATGAATGAAACCAGAGCTACATGAAAATCAAAATAGCACATAAACACAGGATATACTACAAATCTTACTTAAAACTTTTGTAGCCTTAAAATATTTATAGAAGATAGAGAGTTGAGCATTGTTATGAATTTAACTTTATTGGCCAGAGTTATTACGGGTTTCATTGTGACATTTTCATACATATATGAAATACATTTTAATCATATTTACCCCCATTGCCCTCTTCTCCCATTCATGCTGATTCCATTCTTAGTCCCAACTAGTCTTGCTTCTACTTTCATATCTTTTAAGGAGAATACTACATTAAACATGAAGACAATTGGAAATATATTCAGAAGAGAAGTCAGTTTACAACAATAGAAAATGATATGACAAAATGTAAAATATGCAACAAGACAAAGTTAATGGGGCAAATAAACAGCAAAACTATTTCTACAAAGATTTCCAAGATAAAGAAAAAGTTAATCCAAATAACATTAAGAAGAAAGGAAGATAACTATAGATAAAAAACATCTTAGAATATCAACAAATACTTGTTGAGAATTTTGAAAACCTACATGAAATGAGTAAATTTCAAAAATAATATAATTCAACAAAACTGAGTCAAGAAGAAAATAATTTAAACCTGAACTTCCTGACATGATTAATAAAATTGAAACAATAATTAATAATTTTTCATGAAGAAAAATTAAGACCCAGATACCTCCAATGGAAAAAAAATCTATGAAACTTTAAAGGAAATCATTATCTTAAGTACTATCCACTTTTGATATACGTAACACACAAAAAAAATGCTTTCACATTATTGTAGAATCATCACCACCATCCATTCTCCATATTTTTTTTTTTATCTTTTCTAACTGAAACTCTATCCTCTTTAATACTTTCTGTCTTTTGGATAATAGCCATTCTGACAGGTAAGATGTGATAGTTCATTGTTATTTTAATTTGCATTTTTCTGAAGATCTTTGGCTTGATTTTATCTTAAGGAAACTTTTGTGTTTTCCTTTCTGATTTTTTAAAAATTATTTTTATTATTTTATGTCTATTTGTGTATTGCCTGCATGTATATAAGTGCACCCGTGTCATGCAATGTCCAAGAAGGAAAGCAGACAGCGTCAGATCTCCTGGAACTGGAGTTACAGACGGTTGTTAGTCATCATGTGGGTGCTAGAAACCAAACCTGGGTCCTCTGCAAAAACAGCCAGTGCCCTTAACCACTGAGCCATCTCTCTAGCCCCAAGTTTTATGTCTTCTTTTGAGAGATATCTATTCTGATCCTTTGCTCATGGATTTTCTTGCTACACATGGGGGGGAGATAAAGGAGAGCCACACACAGAGAATTTTAAATATAAATTATTTAAGTATATTCTAAAAATGAATCACTTTAGTGATCATGGAGGAAGGAATTGAATCCAAATCTGTATGGTTCCAAATTTCATGTTCCTCCCATAAAGCAAACACTGATAGAAAAGAGATGTGACCCTCAACTCGAAGATCCTGCCCCTTTGATTGCGTAATAAAGATTGACTGAGAGAGCAAAAAGTAAATCTAAGAATTATGTGATTTCTATGTACTTTATTCAGATTTTCATGTATTTTTTATGAATGGAAATTCCTTTTCATATAAAATGAATTCCTTCTAGAAGAATAAATAAACTAAACCATTGATTTTACGTCCTCTCTTAGAATTCCTTAGAAGAGACTGAAGAAGGTGTTGATGACTTGGTGTCCTCCGGGTTTTCTGCAAATACCCACAGTCTGGCAAGTGGCCTGTCAACCGTAAGCAGTTCTCTTGCACACACAAAAATTCTCTTGTTCATTTTCTGTGTGTTTCCACTGGAGACAGGAATATGTGATAATGAGTCAAAACCATTGTAGGTTCCTGCTTGCCCTGTGCCCACAGAGTACTTTGCACTCGCCTTTGGCCCTTGATTCCTTTCTTCTCCTTCCATGATCCTCACCCAGGACTTGAAAGCTCTTCATTTCCATTTTATAAAGAACTGGATCCCGTGTGAAGGTTCCCAACATAAGGGATGAAATGCTTTAGGAGATAGGAAGGCTAATTACTATGATTTGACCATTGGATGTTGTATAAGTCAAATAGTACTCCCATAAATATGCAGAATTGTCTCCTAAATAGCTGGAAGATTTCTTAAATTTCTTCATTTTCTAATTAAGCCCCAGGCAGTACAAGTCTATAAATGAGTTCAATTCTCTGCTGATCAGTTTCTCTGACACCATTCTCTCAACTCCTTAGCTGCCCTCCGCACTGCTGCCTGTCATTTTTCCTACAACAAATGCCTACTCAGCTTTCTTTTCTTTTCTACAGAGCTTCCTACTGCCTGCAGGAAAAATTCTTGTTACCTGAGTGTTTAAGATCTTCCTTGAGAGGAAGCCTTTACCAAGCCAAGTGCCATTATATCTATCTGTGTACCTGTAACTTTCTTCACTTCTCGTATTTCTATTGCTCTAATACCTTTTATCTTTTAATGACTTCCTTAAAAGAATTCTCATGCAGGATCTGATAGGAAGAGGACCTATCTAAATGTTCCTGATGCTGATTCAGACACTGTGAGTGTTTGACTTTGCATTTTCTTCTTCCCAATGATAATTCACAAATTCCATTGTCTGGGAAATATGATTAGATAGGCAGTTGTATCTGTTTTCTGACTTATAAACAAGTAGCCAGATGCTTTCATTGGAAAACATTCATAAGCTAACAGATCTCAAGAATTCCAGTCTCTAACTGGTAGAATCTCAAGGCCAGTCTTAAGACATGTTCTCAAATAGTTTATCATTGACAAGAGCTTTGCAGCAAATGCCTCCATTTTAAGTCATAGCTTTGGCATGCTAAAGAGAAAGAAGTTTAGTTAGTAGTAAAATTGCAATAATTACCTTACATCCTCTAAAACCTCAGATTTTTTGAGTTCTTAAATGTTCTTCTCTTCATTGGGCCACCTGCTTACAAAGGTCCCTTGTTGTTCACATGGCTGCAGAGGGGTGTGGTGAAAACAGAAGTCAGTCATACAAGGGGAAATGAGTTGTGATCTAGAGGATCTCTGACTAGAAATAACCAACTTCACTTTATGAATTGGTATTGCCAACATTTTCTGTGAACCAAAGTTTCCTCATATGTATCATGATTTTGGAGTGATTCATGAAGCTCTTAAGGCTTGAAGCATGGGGGCCAGTGGTTAACAGCACTGGCTGTTCTTGCAGAGGACCTGGGTGCAGTAAGGTTCTCAGCACCCACATGGCAGCTAACAACTGTCCATAACTCTAGTTCCAGGGGATCTAATGCCCTTTTCTGAACTCAATGATGATTGCATGACACAGGTAGACTTACATACATACAGGCAATACACTCATATATCTATATATCTATATGAATAAAATATATATGAATTATACATATATATATAGAGAGAGACAGAGACAGAGAGAGAGAGAGAGGGTCTCCCTGTAGCCACAGCTGGACAGCTGGCCTGGATTCACTATAGAGACCAGGCTGGCCTCGAACTCACTGAGATCTGCTTGCCTCTGCCTCCCAAGTGCTGGTATTAAAGGTGTGTGCCAGCATATCTGGCTAATAAAATATATATTTTTATAAAAGACTCGAAGCATGGTCTATAGACCACCATGATTATGTAACTTTGAACAGAAATGCTGAAACATTCTCAATCCATATAGCTCCTGGAGTCTCAGTAATCCTCACACTATACTTCTAGGCCAAAAATAAGAACTAACTACTCAATTAAGTATCATTAGGTCCAAAACTTAACAAGCATTTATATCCTCTCAATTTACTAGCCATTTGAAAAAATCATACAGGTAAACATTTTTTGTTCTTTTTTTAAGTTGTCTTATTACATACTAAAGGATTGTGTACCTGTTGAACTATATAATTTTTCAAATCTTAGAATCTTAGTACGTATCACCATTTTCACTTGCCATTCCATACTGATTATTTGTTTCTATGTTTTTGTTTTGTTTGAGAGTTTCTCTGTGTAGCCCAGGCTAGCTTCTAACTTAACATCTTCTTACGTCCATCTCCCAAGTGCTAGGATTATAGCTGTATATCACCACACACGGATTCCATACAGATTTTTAGGAACAATTTTGGTTTTTCTTACAGAAATTGCAAGAGTCTCAGCATATTGAAAACAGGAAAAAAAATTTAAATTAAGTATAATTTTCATAATGACACTGAAACCTACTAGTTATTACTTTTCATATTTTGTACAGTGTCTAATAGATGTTGCTATAGATGTGTTTCTCTTTAAAATACTCTATAGTGTTCCTATGAGTTTACAGTTGTGCTCGAGGGTACCTGCACACATTTTTGGGGAGCCTCAGACCTAGATATTGTTGAAAAACTAAAATTTCAGACTCCACCCTGTACTTACTTATTACTAAAAAATTATCTCCAGGTGATTTATATTGATTTCAGTGTTGAAAGACTGTTGCTTTATTTTAGATAAGGAAGACAAATTTGGTTACTCTCTAGCTCTCTTAAAGAAATAACTTCCGAGTAATTTTAGAATTCTTGATTTGTTCTTGTTGTTGACTTTAACTTTAAAAAGATATGAGCCAAGTCAGATGCATCCTATTTGAACAGTCTCTATTTGAAATGTGAGTTTTATAAAAACAACAATAGCAGGGCCTGGAGAGATGGCTCAGTGGTTAAGAGCACTGACTGCTCTTACAGAGGACCTGGGTTCGGTTGCCAGCACCCACATGGCAGCTAACACCTGTCTATAATCCCAGTTCTAGGGGATCTGGTGCCCTCTTATGACCTCCGCAGGCATTTCACAACACGGGTGCACTTATGTACATGGAGCAATACACTCATACACTTAAAAATAATAAATAAAATATTTAAAGAAACAAAAACGTCAACAATGAAACCTAACCAGAGACAGGTAGGTAGGTAGATAGACAAGATAGTGTGTATATATATAAAATAGGTATGATAGATATATGATTTTTATGTCTATATATCTACCTATGTAAATAAAAGGAAACTCTAAGCTATGTTTATATTCCCATAGTCCTTGTTTCTCAGTGATTCAAGAGAGGTTATACTATACTATACAAGAGAGAATTAACTACTTGATAATTCATGAATGTTACTGGCCTTTTGTGTCCATCATGTTACTAAGATACAGAGCCTTTTTTTCTAGCACTGAATGATAATGTTGTTACCCTTATTTAAAATATGTATCTGTCACAGGGTCTGAACAAAGAATTATTCATTCTTGTAGAATTTTTTATTTTATTGATTGGCTGGTATATGACTTTATTTTTTGGTGTTACATTTTGGTCATTGATATTTCATGGACTTTCCAAGCCACAGTCTTGAACTACCTATGTAACCACACAGCTACTAAGTTGGGGAATACCAGCCCCTGTGAGTATAGGATGTTCTTTTGGCTTGTCTTTGTTAAAGTTGCAATTGTGGTTCCCCCAAGACCAATGACATGCTTCTTATGAGAGCCGGAGAAAGAAGATTTTGTTTTTTGCTTGCTCAGAATATGAAATGCACCCTTCTTTGTCCTAATGAATGTATTCTAAATATTTAAATGGACTGAATTGGACTCTACCAGTAAAAACAGATAGTTGCAGGGATGGAGAGGCAAGAATGTATTAGCAATCTCTCAGTGACTCTATATTCATTATAACAATTGAATAAAGAGTTCCAGCTAACCCAAAAAGGAGATGTTTCCTCTCACAGAAAGTTTCTGGCTTTTTACTAACAGAACTAGATCCGGTATACTTTCTGAGATTAGAATTTTATACACCAGCAGCAAAACAAGTAAAGCAAATGACTTGCTGTCTCCCCTTACCTCTTTCCCCTCCTAAATTAAAAAGAACAGCAACTGGAATTGAATGAAGGGAGTGGATTTTGTGAAGAAAGACTTTAAATAGCATTGGGTGACTTCTTTCATCTTGTTTATTCCAGACCAGCCTTAACAGCATGATGAGTGTTTACAGTGAAACAGGAGACTATGGCAATGTGAAGGTCAGTGGAGAAATCCTTTTACATATCAGCTACTGCTACAAAACTGGAGGGCTGTACATTTTTGTCAAGAATTGCAGAAATCTGGCCATAGGCGATGAAAAGAAACAGAGAACAGATGCGTAAGTACATAGCACGTTCCTCCAACTATGCCAAACACTGCCTTCTTTGTCTACATGCATGCTTCTTTCTCAGAAGAGGTTTAGCATTCTTCTCAAGTAAGAACCTTTTGGGGGACTAAAGAAATGGCTCAGCAGTTTGGAGCACTGACCATTCTTGCAGAAGACCCCGGTTCGAATCCCAGCACCCACATAGCAGCTAAAAACCATCCGTAATTTCAGTTCCAGGGGATCCGACAGTCTCTTCTGTCCTCCAGGAGCACTTAGCTACATGCACGCAATACACGCATATACATAAAATAAAAATAATAAATAATTTTTTTTAAAAAAAAAGAACCTTCAGGGCTGGAGAGATGGCTCAGTAGTTGGGAGCATTGACTGCTCTTGCAGAGGACCCAGTTTCAGTTCCCAGCACCCACATGGTGGCTATGAACCATCCTTAACTCCAGTTCCAGGGAAATCTGAGAACCCTCTTCTGACCTCGGAGGCACTGCACGATATGGGTGCACTCACATACATCAGGCAATGTATTCATACACATAGGATAAAAATAATAAATAAAATATATTTTTTAAAAAAACCTTCTCAAAGCTACATCGTTCCTTGTAACCTTCTTCATAGTCCATATTTCTCAATAGTCTCTGAAATATGAGTACAATGGTTGCGTCCTTGGTTACCTGATTTATGAGAGGCCATTACTAAACATGATTCAGCACTGACAAATATTAGCTTACATAAAGGCCACTCTTGGAGAAATAAGCTGATATGTTTGCATACCCAGGATGTATAAGAGTATCTTGATTTTTTTTTTCAGGGAAATCTCCCAGATAAAATTATCAGTGTTATCCAACTGAACAACTCAAAAGGGCAATTATAAAGCTGTTGTTATTTTAGGGGTCAACTTAATAGAGAATGTATGGACTATTGTATGTTGGAGGAAAGGTAAACATAAAGATATGTCAAGTGTTCCCAAGACAACTCCCAGGTCCAGTGATATACTAGAAGGACTCACAGTGTTGTATGCATAGTTAGAATAAACAAAGGGAAAAGACATGTGGGGTAGGATCCTAGAAACTAGACTCAGGTTTCCAATGGTCCTCTCCTACTGGAATTACACAGCATGCACTTAATTTCTGTGAAATATTGTTTACCAAGGGAGCTTGTTAAGCACTCTGCTGGTCACATACTAAATTTCCAGGTTCACAGAAGGAGAACACACGTTTAACATAAAGTTTATTGTTTGTACAAATTAGACTGAGTTAGCCACTTTTATCAGTTCTGAGACTAATAGGAGCCCTCTCAAAATCCAAGTTCACGTACCCAAGGACCAAACTTACAGTATGTTTTCCTAAGAATGACAGTCCCAAGTCTTCTATGCTAATGCTTTTTGCACAATAGACAACTAAGTCTAAGAAACAATTCAGTGGAGATGAGTATGTCTCCTAATACAGATACATAAAGAGGTTCTAATTACACATTGGCATACCTGCCTCCTTAACTGGAATTTGCGTGGCTAGCATACAAATATAATTATTTTGACCAGCATGGAAATGGACTATCTAAAACCCCAGTCGATGTACTTCAGAGTTCTCTATTATACCTTCTCACTATGTACCTTTCTCAGTCTACTCTGATTTCCCTGTCCCAAGAAGTCCCTAAACTACCTAGATCATAGTGTGTTGGGTAAATTGCTATTGTGACTTCACATTGTCTTTGCTTTGTTCCTATAGAAAACCCAGAATTATAATTATGGTATCCTATTATACATGCTGCGTTCTCTTTGGTCCTTTCTCTTTTAGTTACTTGTCCATTCATGTTTATTCACTGAATTTTTTTAATATATCTGCAAAGTACATGTTTACAAATAATTACTTTTATGCTTTATTATTTACAGTTATGTGAAGTCATACCTTCTTCCAGACAAGTCCCGAAACAATAAGCGCAAAACTAAAATCAGAACAGGAACCAATCCAGAATTCAATGAAACATTAAAGGTAAATAAATACTCTCATAGAGACTCATGCCATAATAATTAGATTATTGATTTAGAACTCTTTGATTTAGAACTAACTTCAGGCTGTGCATGGATGGTGGTTCCCATCTCTAATTTCAGTACTAGGCAGGAGGACTCTCAATAGTTCAAAAGCCACTTGAGGTAACAGTCAGATCCAAGCAAGTCTGGCCTACAGGAGAAGATGTATCATAAAACAGACAAATCATGGGGAGAGATGGATCAGTGGTTAAGAGCACTGGCTGTTCTTGCCTAAGACCATGGTTTGAATGCCAGAGCTCCCATGTCAGCTAACAACCATTCATAACTCCAATTCCAGCGGATCTGATGCCCTCTTCTGTCCTCTGTGGACATTGCATGACACAGGTGCACTTACACACATGAAGACATAACAAACACATGAAATTAAAATTAAAATTAGAAAACAGACAAATCTAAAAAGGGAGAAGTAACTGAATGGATTTTATTTTCATGTCAAAGCCTGCATGTGTTTTAGAAAGATAGAAGAATTTGAATGTTATTAGATTTCCTAACAGCGTTTAGAAAAGAAAAAAATATAAAAAATGTAAACCACTCTTGGTCCATTTACTCTCTGCAATTTCTGAGGTTGTGCATTAAGTCAAGATGACCCAGAAAAAGTATTAATTACATTTGAGTTGATATATTTTGCCACAAATTAAGTTTTATCCTTGAGAAATCAGCTTTGGGGGCATTGACATAATGGAGTTTGTCACAAGTTTGACACTAAGTGGATCACTTTGTACACATCGCTCTGCTAACACACTAAGAATATGTGCTGCTTCTTATTATGATTTCAGAGTTTGGCTAAAGATAAATTATTATAAATGAACCATATAAAAGCACGTTCAGATTTGAGAAATCTCAGAGAAAATGACTGAAGTAAAATATGAACAAGGCCTTAAAGCATTTTTATTTCGATGGGCATGCATATAACATCCCTTTCTCTTGCCTTGGATCCATCTGGTCTGGAAAGAAAGACTCAGGGAGGATAAGCTATTATACTAGTCATAGGAAAATTATGGACTTGTGCCCAGAATGATGTCTTCACAGTCCGCCACAAGGGAAAATGGTGATGGAAGGAAGTCAGGCGTCTACCTGCATCAGTGAGACATGTATAGAAGCAGGGGCAAATATTAAGAGAGATCAAACAGAAAACAAAAAAATACAGGCTGAGCATGAATCCAGTGACAATAATAGGATAGCAAAGATGAACCCAAGTAGAAGAGATAAACACAGTGACAGATTCAGGGAGTAGAGAGCCAAAGTCAATCATGAGAGCAACAGCAGGAACAGCAATAGATACAAATCCAAGCACAGAAAGCTCAGTCTGAGATATGACCAACATAGCAGTTACTTCAAACAAGCAGAAGATTAGAGGGTGTGTGAGTATGTGGCCTCAGGTAACATTCTGCTGGAAAAGGAATAGCAAGTTCTGTATCAGACTTTCTGCCCAACCTGGGTATATTTTTTAACTTGTGCATTTAGAATAGGCTTTATGAAGTTTGGTGTCTGCAAATTTCTCATGTCAATCCTTTTCTGGATTTAGAGATTTTTATTAGCAATAAACACAAGTTGGACTATTGTTATACCAAACCTACAACTGTAAAGCAAATGTGAAAAAATTAATTGGTAAATGAATAACAGGTAAAACTGGAAAGAGACTGATTTATCACATAACAGTTTCTACACTGCCCCTGAAGTTCATTCATCCCATAATGATTTGATTAAATGTCCTTCAAAACTAAGTATGAGATATAATGTGTTTTTTTAGAACATAACTGATTTGGGGGCTGGAGAGACATCTCAGTGGTTAAGATCATGGGTTGTTCTTGCAGAAGACCCGGGTTCGAATCCCAGAACCCTTATGGCAACTAACAACTGTCCGTAACTCCAGTCCCAGGGTATCCAACAGCCTCTTCTGACCTCCCCAGGCATTGCACGACACAGATGCACTTACCTAACAACTGTCCATAACTCCACTTCCAGGGGATTTGAGAGCCTCTTCTGTCCTCCGCAGGCATTGCACGACACAGATGCACTTACCTACATTCAGGCAATACATGAATACACATAAAATAAAATAATAAATAACTTTTTAAAAGTTGAAAAAATCATAACTGATTTTGTTTTCTTCATATTGCTAATACCGATGACCTGAAAAATGGTGTTATTAGTTTCGCCCTGTCCTTGAATTGAATGGAACCCTCCTTGCAAGGTGTGATGTTTTAAATCTCCTTTTGTAGTACACCATCAGCCATACGCAGCTGGAAACAAGAACTCTGCAGCTTTCAGTCTGGCACTATGATCGGTTTGGACATAACAGTTTCCTTGGAGAGGTGGAGATTCCTTTTGACTCATGGAACTTTGAAAATCCATGTGATGAGTGGTTTGTACTTCAGCCCAAGGTAGGAAATACTTCCAAAGTAGTCAATCAGTCATGTAATTAGACAAATTTGAGTGAAGTTGGCAACCCAATCCTAAATAATCTGAAGGCTTCCAAGTCTTACGTGATAATCTGCAAAGATTCAGTCATCAACATTTGAAATAAAATTATGATAAATATTGGAAATCTATTCTTTTAGAAACTTTTCATAGATACGTACTGATTAATATAAGCCATGTAATCATACACTATTGTTTTTATTACTGACATGATTCATCATTTGAGGATCTCCATGGATAACCAAAAAGAATACATCATATGATCCTATTAAACCGAGAAAGTCTTCTGTACTCACATAGACAAAAACCAATCCATAGAGGATGAGCAATCACAAAGTATTCTCTTTTTCTCATAGTCTACAGTTCAGAATGTCAGCAAGATTATGTGAGCCACTTTCCCTCGCTCACATGAGAAAGTGACTACTAATCAAGGTATTCCTAATTTTGAGATTCATAACTCAGGCCTTCTGTTTAGGGCTAGCACTAGGTCTAGGGTTAAGTTTAGGGTTATGATTATGGTTAAGGTTAGAAATATTCAGAAAACAAATATTAAAGGTGACCCTACATATTACATGCCAATATGTAGTCTAGTGTGTTAGATCCTAGAACAAAAATACCATGGATTCACTGTAAGCAACTAAAATCTCACTGTATTTACAGTCATTCTGTAAATAAAAAAGAAGTTGAAGAAGTCAGTTATGTTAGAGATTATTCTTTATGTGCAGAGGCAACAGAACATTTTTGTAAAGATGGTGAACTCAATTTATACATCCTTGGTTAAATGCTAGCTTCTAAAATGCCTATGGGGCACATTACTTCTTAAACCCACGTCTTCCAATTTGTAATATGATCATCACTATAACAGCATTATAGCTGTGGGGGCTGGGGTGTCTGAGATACTTGTCCCACTTATGAAGTTGCTATGAGGTTTGAACAAGAATTTTCTGCAGTTCTGTCAGCATTCTGTCTGGCACATTGTAAACTGTCAGTGAAGACATGATAATATTTGCATTTGCCAATAGTTTCATCCAGTTGTGTAAATCTTTGTGCTAATTATATGTGCACATACTTACATATACATATACATATATGTGTACATATGTACATATACACATATGTATATTTGTACCATTGGCAACAAAGCTCTCCATGCAAATGAAGTTCATTTCTTTAAAATAAAATTTTTCTTAATTTTTTTATTATTTCACACAAATATATTTTTATTATATTCATCCCCCTTCACCCCATCTCCTCTCAGATTCATCCCCACCTTCCTATCCTTAAAACTCAGTCCTTCATTTAACTGGGACTTTGTCTGGCTTAGAGGTTTCCAAAGGTTTTGTGCATGGACTCACAGCCACTGTGCATTCATACATGAAACTGTCCTGTTCTGTCCAAAAAAAACCATTGTTTCTTTGTAGTCCTCTACCACCTCTGGCTCTTACAATCTTCCTGTCAACTTTTCTATGATAATCCCTGAGCCTTTGTGGGTGTGGTGATACAGACACTTGATTCTGGGCTGAGACCTCCAACAGTATGTTATTCTCTGCACTTAGACCAGTTGGGAGACTGTGTTAATTGTCACATACTTCCATAAGAAGCTTCACTGTGAGAGTTGAGAGATACAGTAATCTAGGATTGTAACAATACACCATTAGGAATCAGTTTAATACTCTGTTCACTTAGCTTAAGAGTAGAGGTAGGGGTAGGACCAGTGGGGTAGGGCAAAGCAGTGATAGAATGGAAGTTGTCTAAGTTCAGGGAGACACCTGACACCTAGCCTCACTTAGGTCCCATCCCTCCCCCTCTCCTGACAGAGACCCCATCCACTAGTCAGTCCTTCCTTCGCTTTACATGCATGATGGATACATCACAGCTGCAGCAGGCCAGCTCTCTGACACATTTGTCAAGTGGGAATCCTGTATATGAAAAATACTATAGGCAATCTGACAGAGGCAATACTGGAAGGGTGTTGGCTTCAGATGCTGCTTCATCCCCAGAAAATCAATGCTTCCAGACTTGATTTAGGGGATTAGCTGACATGGAGGGCAAAGGTATCCCGAATGGACGAGAGTTTTTTGTTGCTTTGTGGTTTATGGTATGTCCCCAGAATGGAACAGAGGTTTCTCTGAGTAACTTGAACACAGCTGTTCCTCCACCAAGATTTCATAATTCCTTTTCAAACCAATGGGACCTCAGCAGCTGAGATCGCATGGGCTGTAAAATCTGAAGATAAGGTCAAATATCATACAATTTTTGATAGTTTAAGCCCAGTGGATGGATTTTTGTCTGGTGATAAAGTAAAATCAGTGTTGCTCAACCTTAAGTTACTCACAGAAATCCTTGGAAGAGTTTAGGAGTGGAGTCATATTGACCATGTTGGAAAGCTTGACAGACATATACTGCATACTATATTGGCATATGCTGTGCCAATACCCTTGCCTCAGGCTTAATGCCACCTTCTACGAGAAAAACTAGGCTTGTATCCACTGCAGAAAAAGTTAAATATGATGAAATCTTCCTGAAGATCTGGATACAGCAATCTTCCTGAAAGATATGGGTGAATTTGTATCTGGACTGGAAGTCCATGAAATGTTCCTGAAAATAGGATTACCTTCTGCCTTATTAGTCCACATTTGGGAACTATGACACAAAGAATGATGGGAAGCTTTCAAAAGATCAGTTTGCCTTGGATTTTCACTTATGCAGTCAAAAATTAATAAAGGGCATTGATTCTCCTCATATTATTACTCCTGAGGTGATTGTGCCATCATACAGGTCCAATTTACAAAGGAATGTCATAAGATCAAGTCCTGTTTCAGATTTATCTGCTATTAACGCAGCTAGATACCCTTAACAATGAGATATTTGACCTTTGGAGAAATTCCAGGTCCCCCTCCTGTGAACCTAGAGCTGTGCCTTCTTCCCATGAGACTGTGCCCCCTCCCATGAGATTGGAGCTATGCCCCCTTCCTGTGAGCTGAAACTGTGGTCTCCTCTTGTGAACCTGGAGCTGTGGTACACTCCTGTGAGCTGGAGCTGTGGCCCCTCCTCCCATGGAATTGGAGCTGTGGTCCCCTCCCATAAAGCACAAGTTTGGTAGCCTTTCATGAACCAGAGCTGTCATATTGCCAGTGAACCTGGAGCTGTGGTCCCCTGTCATGAGCTGGAGCTGTGGTCTTTTCCTGTGAATTTGGAACTGTGCTACCTTCCTATGATCTGGATCTGTGGCCTCTCTCCATAAACCAGAGCTGTGGTCTCCTCCCATAAACCAGTTGTGATTCCCTACTGTGAGCTTGAACTACTGTCTTCTCCCATAAACCTGAAGCTTTATTCCTCTCCTGTGAGTTGGAACTGTGGCCTTCTCCCATGAGCCAGAGTTGTGATTCCCCTCCTGTGAACATGGAGCTGAGGACCCTTCCTGTGAGCTGGACTTGTGAACCCCTCCTGTAAGCTGGATCTGTGGTTCCTTCCCATAAATCTGGAGCTGTGAACCCCTCCTTCTGAGCAAGAGTTGTGAACCCCTCTGGAAGTTGGAGCTATGGTGCCCTCTCATGAACTGGAGCAGTGGGACCCTCCCATGAGTTGGAGTTGTGGTCCCTTCCCTTGAGCCTGGTGCTGTGGTCACCAACATGAGCCACAGTTCCACATTCTTCCTGTGGTGGACTGATGGTGTAGCAGATAGAATGTGGAGGATTCCTGATGTTGGGCAGCCATATCAGCCTTGTCTGAGAGACTGCATTCCCCACAAACACCTACCTCAAGGTCCCGGGTTATGCATGGCAGTGGCTTTGCCTGTGTGTTGAACTTATGTTGGGGACAGGGGAGGTGTCTGTCATTTGAATTTTCTAGTCTTTGGAGGACCAATTCTAAAAATCCACTTCCCACTTCTTTTGACAGCTAGCTATTTTCTTGACTCTTGTGGTCCTGGGCATCCAGGCCTTGGCTTTGGAACTTTCCCATTCCTACATTTTTCTATTATTGTTCTACAGTCCCAGTGTATTTTCACTTGTGTCCTATAGAAAATGTACAACACCTAGTTGAACTTCTAGGGATAATAATCACAGTCTGGGAAGGTAAAAATAAAGAGTAAAAAGAACTCTGCAAAAGTCTCCATCTCTGGCAAAAAGAAGCTTCTTTGATGAGTGCTGAGAGGAATACTTGTCTGTATACTACATTTAGCATACAGTAAGAAATTAGATTTGTCTAGGGAAGTGATGGATTAAAAAAAAGAGTTTTCCAGGCTTCTGAGAACTTGCTCATATGAACTTACACAATGGTGACAACATGCAAAAGACCCATGCAAAATCAGTCATAAAAAAGACACCAGCATAGAACTGGGGAAACTGACAGGAGGTCCCAGCCTTAGCTGAGGAACTATTGGCAGCTGATCACTGCTGGGTGAGGGAGAGTTGGTCTTCTGTAAAGGCAGTGACACTAAATAGGCTAGACAGGCTCCAGTGGATGAACTCACACCTAGGGACATCTGGATACAGAAACCTGACTCAATATGACAGAATGCATGAAATCTGGTGGGTGTCCTATGGTAGGGTGAAGATAGGGGAGGGAATCTAAATATGATTAAGATGTATGAGCTGCACAAAAATTCAATAAAAATATATATGGAAGAAATAAAAATGATTAATTTTTAAAAAAAGAATACAGATAGAATCTCCCTTAGTGTCTATGACATTTATTAGCCACAGGTTTTGAATCATTGTCATGGATCCAGGTAGCATTTATGAGTTCCATCTTTTGGAGTGAGTCTTGCACCCAATAAGAATGATTTTTGCCTCTCTCATAACATTCCTGCCACTATTGCATGAGCAGACATATCTTGTAAATAAGAAAGTATTTGTCAACGCCCATAATATTCATGCCATCATTTCACTAGTGAACAAATCTTGCCAAGCATGTCATTTATTGTAACTCACAGGGTTCTCCACTTGGTATGCCTTAGGAT